TATATATATATATATACACACACACACATATTTACATTTTATTAATATGCTCAAACTAGGTTCTGTTCATTTCAGCTGCAGTAATTGATATTATTTTTGGATTGTTTGACCCTTAGATTATCAGTGCTAATTGTCCCTTCCAGTAGTATTATCAGTGAAGAAGCAAGTTTATATATCTGCCAATGCAATTCTCAAACATAATGTGACATTTTGGTGTGCTTGATTAATTTTTACTTAAATTGAATATAATTTATACAGTTAAAATTACGAAGTTTGCTGATTATTTACTTTTTAAAAATCCTTCTAATATTATCCTTTCAATATCACTACCACTGCTTTCCTATATGGGATAGAGAGAGAGTTAAAGTTCTTGTCAGGAATTTGTATTATTCTCACCTGTGAGAAACACTTAATGTTATCAGTCATATATAGAAAAAAGTTGAAGTATCATGATTTCAAGTCTCTTCCCCCTTCCTGCTACTTTCTTACAGGAACTTTGTCAATTAATCAATCTTTGGGCAGAGAGATTCTGTGCTTTGGAGGAAAAGTGTGAAAACATCCAGAAACCACTCAGTAATATCCAAGAAAATACAGAGCAGTAAGCTATTTTTATATTCTCTTTCACTTTTCTGTAAGTTTGAAATTATTTCAACATAACTACTTTCAACTTTGATAACATTTTATTATGTTCCTTTAAAATTCACCTCCTCCTCTCTCTCTTCTTTATATATATCATCTACCTATATATTTCTTTTCAGAACAGCTGAGAGTAATTTATAGACATAATATTCCCTTTGTCCTAAATATTTTATATCTAGTAAACACTAGAACCAAGGTTATTTTCTTTTATAAACATAGTATAATTGTTTAAATTAGAAAATCATGATGGATAACTATTATTGTCTAATATGTAGACCTAATTCAAATTTTGCCAGTGGTCTCACTAATGTTCTTTATAGCAGAAGAAAAAGATTTTCTCTTGACTCAAGATTTAATACAAGACCACACATTGCATTTAATTGTCATATATCTTGAGTTTCCCTTAATCTGGAAAGGTTCTTTGTCTTTCATGGCCTTGTGTTTTTTTTTTTTAAAGCCCAGTTGTCTATTGGGCTATTTGTCTTATTATTATTTACTGAGAGTTCTTTATGAAGAGTCAACTGCAGAGAACCAGGTGAGGAGAGGGAACCCAGGCCACCCCCCACAAGTAGCAAGGCAAGAAGCAGGGAGAGGACAGGAAAGGCAAAGGGGACTGGAACAGATTGAGGAGTTAGCCACAGGGATCCAGGTAAGGGTGGTTGGAGGGGTTTCCAACAGCTAAGGGAGACAAAC